TTAGCAAGGAGAGTGGTGAAATGGTGGCTCAGAGGCCAAGAAGCAGCTCAGTGATCTCAAAGTTCGTTAGCATTTGCAAAATGCATTCAGGCACTTGGATGCTTGGTTTGCTTGTGATGTTTGTGTGTGATACTGACACCAGTGCTGGCTTTGGGCTCAGGCTTACCCTCCATCTGGGTCTGATACAGCCTGGCCAGTGTATGATGTATGACACATACATCAGTGTCCTGTCTGTCACATAGGGCATCCGTGGTACCTGTGACATGTAAGAATTTTAAGAAGAGGACAGGTAAAGAGGTCTCATCTCAGCAAAAGCTGTTAGATCTTGGTTCCTGGATAGTCATGTCCTCTGTCAAGATGCGTGACTGAGGAAAGACTTGGAGAAAGATAACTAGGTTTTTTGGACTTTATCCTGTGAAGGTGAAGAGGTTCAGAGGACTTTCATCTTCTGGGTAAGTGCTAACACCAATCACATACATCCCTTTGGTGTCAGAAATGTATGTCAGAATTTACAAAAAGCTGTACTCGCGTACTTAGATTCAAAAGGGAAGAAAATACGTAGCAGTTACAGAAGTGCAATCACTGAAGCTGTTTTCCAAGGCATCAAAAAACGAGAAGTATGAAATATGAACACCTTTGGGACTTTGTGTAAGGGAGTACCCATAGACTCCTGCAAATGCAGATTGTCTTTCCAGACCCCTGAAGAAATGCGGGTACAGGAAGGTAGTGCAGGGACTGGCCTTTGTCCTCTGCTGTCAAGAGGGCAAGAGGGTGTTTGTGTAACAGAGTACTTTGCTCTGCCACATCACTGCTCCCCAGATAGACTCAGTTATTGGTGTACATAAAACTAATAGCTATAAATTGTTATGGTTGGTGCTTGCAGAAGTGCGGCCGTAGACCTCTGAGGAGAAAAAGACATGAGGATCCTTATGATTTATATAGTACTAACAGATTTCAAAAGTTCTTATTGCAAAAAGGTGTGCTTACCTCCAGCCATTTTAACCAGATCCACACTACACTTAATGTGGAGTAGCAGATTACCTCCTCCAAACTCAGGAGCAGTACATCCCAACAAAGAGGACATCAGGCAAAAATATACGCCTGCATGGATGAACAAGGAGATCCTGAACAAGCTCAGATATTAAAAGGAAGCCTACAGAGAGTGGAAGCAAGGACAGGTAGCCTGGGGGGAATACAAAGAAATTGTCCAAGCAGTCAGGGATCAGATTGCGAAACCTAGAGCCCTGATAGTATTAAATCTTGTCAGGGACATCAAGGGAAACACAAAAAGATTCTGTAGATGTGTTGATGATAAAGGGAAGACTAGGGAAAATGTGGACCTGCTCCAGAAAGAAATGGGAGAGCTAGTCACCTGGAATATAGAGAAGACTGAGGTACTCAATGACGTTTTTTCCTCAGTCTACACGATCAAGTGTTCCAGCCACACCACCCAAGACGCAGAAGTCAAAGACAGGAACTGGAAGAATGAAGGACCACCCACTGTAGCAGAAGATCAGGTTCAAGACCACCTAAAGAACCTGAAGGTGCACAAGTCCATGGGATCTGATGAGATGCATTCACGGGTCCTGAGAGAACCGGCAGATCAAGTGGCTAAGCCGCTCTCCATCATATTTGAGAAGCCATGGCAGTCTGGTGAAGTTCCCACTGACTAGAAAAGGGGAAACATAACCCTCATTTTTAAAAAAGAAAGAAAGGAGGACCCAGGCAACTACAGGCCAATCAGTCTCACCTTTGTGCCCAGCAAGATCATGGAGCAGATCCTCCTGGAAACTACACTAGGGCACATGGAAAATGAGGTGATTGGTGACATCCAACATGCCTTCACTAAGGGCAAATCATGCCTGGCAAATTTGGTGGCCTTCTAAGATGGGTTTATAGCACTAGTGGATAAGCGAAGAGCAGCTGATGTCATCTACATGAACTTGTGCAAAACATTTGACACTGGCCCACATGACAACCTTGTCTCTAAATTTGAGAGACAAGGATTTGACAGATGGACCATGTGTTGGATAAGGAATGATCAAAGAGTAGCGATCAGCTACTCAATGTCTGAGTGGAAACAAGTGATGAGTGGCGTTCCTCAGGGATCGGTGTTGGGACCGGCGCTGTTTAACATCTTTATTGGTGACATGGATGGTGGGACTGAGTCCATGCTCAGCAAGTTTGCCAATGACACCAAGCTGTGTGGTGTGGTCAACACACTGGAGTGAAGGGATGCCATCCAGAGGGACCTGGACAGAATTGAGACATGGGCCCACGTGAACCTCGTGAAGTTCAACAAGGACGAGTGCAAGGTGCTGCGTGTGGGTCGGGGAAATCCCAAGTACAAATATGGGCTGGTAGTGGAATGGATTGAGAGCAGTCCTGCCAAGGGCTTGAGTGTGTTGGTTGACAAGAAGCTCAACATGACACAGCAATATATATTTGCAGCCCAGAAAGCCAACCGTGACCTGGGCTGCATCAAGAGAAGTGTGGCCAGCAGGTTGAGGGAGGGGATTCTCCTCCTCTGCTCCCGTGAGACACCACTGGGATCACTGTGTCCAGCTCTGGGGCCTCCAACATAAGAAGGACATGGACCTGTTGGAGCAAGTCCAGAGGAGGCCACAAAGATGATCAGAGGGCTGGAGCACTTGCTCGATGAGGATAGGCTGAGAGAGTTGGGGTTGTTCAGCCTGGAGAAGAGAAGGCTCTGGTGAGACCTTTTAGAGACTTTCCAGTACTTAAAGGGGACCTCCAAGAAAGCTGGGGAGGGAACTTTTATCAGGACTTGTAGTGATATGACAAGAGGTAATGACTTTAAACTGAAAGAGGGGAGATTTAGATTAGATATTAGGAAGTAATTCTTCACTATGAAGGTGGTAAGACACTGGCCCAGGGTGCCCAGAGCAGCTGTGGCTGCCCCCTCCCTGGAAGGGTTCAAGGCCAGGTTGGACGGGGCTGGGAGCACCCTGGTCTGGGGGAAGGGGGCCCTGCCGATGGCAGGGGGGTTGGGACTAGATTATCTTTAAGGTCCCTTCCAACCCGAACCATGCTATGATAGTGTTATTACTGGTTATAGATATCCTGCAAGAAATACAACCTGAGTTTTGATATGCAGGTAAGTGTCAAGAATAACAACTATGACATGCCAAGCACTTGCAGCTTGATAGAAGGATCTGGAGCAATCAAAACCCAGTAGAAATACAACCTAAAAGCTCAGGCACCTAGGTACTTTAAAAAGTATTTGCTAGAACATTTGGGGTCACCATTAGGAAATAGTTGAGGAAAACACCTTTGTTGGTCAATTGTTGGAAGAAGTTTGAACTACTAGTGTGATGCAGAGACAACACTAGGTGGGATCAGCAGAGCTGGGGAAGTGTAAGTATTAACGTGAATGGTGATGGCAAGACCTTGCTTGGATGCTATATTCAGTACTGGCTATAGCTTAAAAAAGAAAAAGGTTAATCACAAGTTATGACTTCCTTCAGGAACACAGACTGGCCATAGGATGTTAGTTGCAGGCAAAAAAGTTGTTCCAATTAGAAAGAGCAACAAAAAGGGTATAAAGTTGGTGCAACCACTTTAGCTAAGAATTTAGGGAGAGGCTCCTACCCAACAGAGAAACAAAATCAGGAACTGGCTGTCAATTGGAAGAGTGGCAGCAACACCAAGAAACCCCTAGCCAGTCGTATGAGGGAGCATGATAGCTTTGTAAATGAGATTATATATTGTCACAGCAGGGGACTAGCCTTGCTGACCTAAGATGTCCTTTCTAGTCTTAAGTGCAACTGATTATTTCATTAGCTGATGGTGCAGTCATTTCCCAGCCATTTATGAAGGGATACGCAGATGTGAACAGATTGGGGATAAATTGAAATAACACTGATCTATCTTACGGCCACTCTTCTAATTAAAACGCCTAAGACAGAAGCTACAGATTTTTCTACTAGAATCTCTGTTTTTATTCTAAACACAACTTTTTCTTCCCTAGTTCCTATAGGTAAAAAAAAAGCAAGTCTCATGTAAACATAATAAAATACTTAGCATTTTACATTGTAAACTTCTATAGACTTTTCTCAAGTGTAAGCTGAGGGCTAGTAATCCACTTGCAATATGTGATAAGCTCAGAAAAAGAAAAAAAATCTGTTTAGATCTATCATTTGAAAACAGAAACATTTTTGTATATGCTGTTTAGAAGAACAGATTTAATAGTTACATTTTCTTGTATTTTCCTGAGAATTTTTACAGTTAGAAAATTTTATTTCCTAGCAAACCTGCATTGTTTGAAATTCCATAAAGTTTCCTTGCATCCTGCAATGAGTCTGCCCTGAATAGACTATTTAAACAAACAAAATTGTTGTTTGTGCTGGGATCAAAGTGAATTCATACTGGGTACCGTTTTCAAATCCTTATTATACACTTACAATAACTGTCTTGCAGAAGAATCAAAATGAACACATAGTATTGTGACTGCTAACACAGCATAATGTTCTGGTACTTAGACCTCTCATAGATTCTGTTTGAAGAAGTTTATTTCTATGTGCATCAAATATTTAAAACAAGAGCAGTACAAATAGTTAAAAAAAGTTTAAAACTGCAGAAACATATTTTCTGTCTCTGCAGAATGTAATTGTAGGATGCCAGCTGACCATCAGCAGTCAAAACTCTGGAAATCACAGAACATTAATTCGGTGCTACTGAGACACGAGAAGACACAGAAGTATCATGTACTTCTGATAAGGTACTTTTTTATCTTTCCACATATTCACTTTAGTTAAAAATTTACAGGCTTATCTATTGTTTGCCCCTAAGGATTTCTGCATTCTTAATCTCTGTTTAACAAAAGAAAGCTGTAACTCTTTGATCTTGTAATAGCTGAAGAAAAAAGTTGCATTTTCTAACATCCTGTTTCATCAGGGATGATACCCAAATGAATAATTTTGAACTTTATACCAAACTCTACTTAAGATCTTCCTTTCAGATCCAAGCTGAGTACATACCTAAAGCCAGTAGGTAGAAACCTATGATAGTCTCTCCTTGCTCTGTTACAGCTGCCTCTCTGCTCAGAAAACTGATGTTGTTGTTCCTCCAGGGTGCCTGTGGAGAAAACTGGACAGACATTTTCAATGGAGCTTATGACCCAGAAACTGCCCTTTCCTCAGTATGTCCAGTGAAACAGAGTGGTTCCAGCCTTTTCCTCAGTTTCTGCTCCCTGTATTTGCAGGAGTTCTTCAATGAGACTAAGGAACTAAAGAAGGAAATCTCAAGGGACAGGAGCTTTGCAGCCTTCTGACCTGTTGTTCTTCACTAATCCTATCTATTAATACAGCCCGTGAATCTGTGGCCAGCCCAAGACAGCAGATTTCCTCATATCCTTATTACTACTATGTGTAGTAGTAAAATAGAAGAAATCTTTAATGAAGAACACGTATTTGACAAAAGGCAACTTCTTTTAAAATAGGGTGATACCACATAATCTACAGGCTCCCAGACATATCCACAAACATCGTGCATACTGATATGTTGCTAAAATAGCAGTACTTTTGTCTTTTTATCTTCACTGAAGACCAATAGAATTGTAGTTCAAATGAAATTGAGGAAAAATCTCAGGCAGATAAAAAAAAAAAAAAAAAAGGCACAACGAAAAACAATGGGGAGATGTCACCGCCTGAAAATGTGACTTTAAAAAATATTTTCAACTGTACTGGAAATTATCGTCCCTTCTTTTTAAGTTAGCAACTATCCTGCTGGTAAAGTAACTTCCTAGCTGATTTATTCTGCTATGTTAAAGTTATTTGAATCATACTGACTGCTAAGCACCCTCCAATCTAGTATGCTCCAAGTATAGCTGGATGTTCCCACACTGTTGGAAAATGAGATGGTCTCACTGAGGAGACATTACATGTGATTTAAGTGAGTCAGTCTGGAGTATTTTCAGTCTTTATTGAGGTATCAATGATTGTATTTCAGATACGGCCTCTCTTACCAATCAGGCTGTAGTCATAATTAAAAAAATTAAATATGAATTAATTCATCAGAAGCAGCAGAGTTTTCCTGGTGAGCAACCCACTCTTACTGCACTGAAATCCCTGTGCTGCTCTCGGTGTCCCAACCAGCTTGTCCCTTCCTACCCTGGGCGGGGGCAAATCAGCCCTGGTGTTGGCACCCGGCCCAAGGAAGCAAAACACCTCGCTGGGAGCCTCCGCCGTCCATGGACTGGTTTCATTCCACCTGAGGCAGATTAATTCCTCCTGTCAAGATTTCCCTGTGTTTGTTATGATAGCCTCCCTGGGAGAGAGGGGAATAAAGGCAATGTGGTGAGAATAAAAGGCGAGAGCAATCCTTTACAGCAAGAAGAAGGGAGAAATAGCTGCGTTGTGGTAAAAGACGGAAGCCTCTCACCTTCCTGTTTGTGGTGAGGACAGTGACTCACATACTCGCTTCATTGAAGACACTTAAAAGGGCACTAGGTTTGACTTGTACCCAGTCATCTTGTTCTTGTACTAGTCGCTGGCACGCTGCTCTCTCTTTCTCCAACTTAAAGTCTGCAGAGTGGGTCTGGCAGCTCCTGCATATCCTATTTAAGAGCAGTGAAGTGGCATGATTTTCCCAACTGCTAGCCACACCCCACCCACTGATGGCTTTGTGTAGAGACCTCTTCCTAACAGGCTGCTGGAGTTTAGACCTGACAAGCCTCTTAAAACACGCTGCTTAGCAGACTGTGACAGAGTGACCTGAGACTTACCAGCTCGGTGATAAAAAACGGCCCTAGCAGTGCTCTCAAGACCAAAGTCCTTCATTGCTGTGCTCCTGCAACAGTCCTAGTTTCCCCCAGTGTTCCCACCACCACCCTGGATTTGTGCATGTCTGACCACTTGCAGATCTCTCACGAGGCTGTCCAGCACGCCTGGCACACGCAGCCTTTTCTCTGCCATGGTGCTGCTCTCCGAGGTGGCCGTTTAAGTGTCTTGTGGACCCCGGCAAAGCCCTGGATGTGCATCAGCTTTCACGGGGAACATGTGCACAACCACAACTTCCCAGCTCTGAGCAGCCATTTCTAGCTAGTTACCCGCCTGTCTGCAAGTGGATTGCTGTTCAGAGGGACAACTGGCATAAAGTTGTGCCTGAAGACAGTGCTCAGGGACATTCATAAATGCTCAAGAAGGCTCACAACAAAGCCCAGCAGTATTACTCTTCAGGACAATGAACTTGCTTCCAAGAAGAGGTCCTCAGCTGAGAGCCCATCACAAAGCCTTTGTCCGTGGATGCTCGTGTCTTAATTGGAGTGTATTTCATCACCGACCAAGAGAAAGATGTGGAAAAGGATGACACTTTGGGAAAGACAAGCAGTCTTTCTCATGGCATTTGGCACAGGCCTGGACTTCCAAGTCTGAGTTTGGCATCTGTTGTCACAGAAATGCCAGTGCCCATGACTTTGATTAAATAGGGACAACCAACAGAGATCATTTTTCATGTAAGCCGTTCAAGGAAACTGTAAAATTCACATACATGTCGCCTCTTTAGGCATAAGCACTTTAAACGGTAATAAAGTAACAATGATCATTGTTTCCCTTTTGCTACAATAAAAGTTAAACCATATTACTTGCCTTGATATCTTAAACTTGAATCCTAACTTTTCCCGGCTGCACATTTCTTCTGATTTCATATAAATACTGCAGCTCAATTCAGCTTTCCATTTCAATGAGAAACTCTTCTGCCAAGCCTTGCACCTTGCAATCATAATGAGATGAAAAAAAAAAAAAAGGTCTTTTGATAGCAAGGAGAAAAAAAAAAAAATTAAAAAACAGAGTGAACTGTTTCTCCATGGTTAAGCATCCCTTTTGATGATTTTTTTTCCCCCCCCTGGTCTTCACGTACTACACTGACTGATATATTGGCCTGCTTGCAGTTTCCTCCTTACTCTCTCCAGTGGCATCCTTCAATAAAGGACAGCGGCTTTGCAAACTCCTGTGGTTTGTTTTAGGTGTCCACAGGTCATTGTACTTCCAAACAAGAGGAAGGCTCCCTCTGCAGATTGCAGTTACCTCTTGTTTCATGTCTCCCAGTGCTTTGCCTGTGACCAATTTACAGGCCTCACAGAGATTATTTCTGAGTACCTCTACTACGTTTGCAAAGTGCTCTGAGAAGATTAGAGCAGCGTACACTGCAGGCAGTTCTGTAAAAAGGAGAAGACTAAAACGCTGTGGTGGTGTGGAGAAATGACTGTGTTTGCCATAGCTATGATGGTTGGGGAGGCATGTGAAAAAAAAAAAAGTGATCTGGGCACGAAAGGACCCTAAAGCACCCCTTCTCTAAATACATAGGAGCTAGAGGTTGGCTCCACAGAAAGGAGTTTGCACCACAAGCTCAGGGTGCCTGATTAAAGCGAGGGATGGAATGACTGGGTTATGACATGACAGGTTAATAAAGCCCATTTTATGAACACTCAAACCAACCAATGGTCTCTGAAGCGGCAGGCAAAGCCAATTTAGAGTGGATATAAGTCAGCAAGTTTCCTATATTTGGGCTACTAAAAATGTTTAACAGCCTTTTAATCCCTATCTGCCTCTCTAAATGCTTTTAAAGTGACATATATACCAGTTCAACAAGGCAAGTATCACAGCAGCATTAACTGGCCTGAGGTACTCAGGCTAGTTACATTAGAGTTCAGTTTACTGACTGTTTCTACTACATCATAACAGAAAAATCCTATTAAAATTTGTGTATGACAGAAAACACATGATGTATGTTTCCAACAAGCACCTGCTTTCCCCGAAGAACACCAAGAATTTGGCAGTTATGAAAGGATTGATTTTGTCAGAAAGCTGAGTTTTCACAGCACTATTTTTACATGATACCTGTTACACATGGATTAAGGAAAGGGACAAAAGAGAGAAGAAGCAAAAGGAAAAATATGCAGAAGGGATGGGTTGAAATAAACTGTAAGAAGATAGAAATTTGCTCTGTAGAATAAAAATACAGTTTTGTCTTTAGAAGGCATAACATTTTGTGTAATTTTACAGAAATATGAACCAGGGGATTTCAAGGCAAATCCAGTGGTATGTTAGTAGGAACATCTCTACATAGATTTTTTTTTTTTTTAATAAATGATTTTCATTTCTACTTCACACTTTTCATTAAAATATTCACTATAAAATGAAAAAACTGTCAATATCCAACAAGACATCACTTAGTCTTGCAAAGAATAACCATGCAATGATTGGTTATGTCTATGGATTTCATTGAGGTAGTCAGAAAATGCACTTCATATCAGTAACAGATGAGTTTTCCAAAGTCAGATCACATATTGTTCACTCCTTCCAAGAAAATACACTCATCGAAATTATTTACACAGGGTCTTTTCTAACGTTGACTGAATTAATAGAAAAAAAATCCTATAAACAATTCAGGTCTGTAATGCTTAAAACATGGTGATGGATGAATGGGAATGACTGTACCAGCTGCATGCTACTTGGAATAGCTTACCTGTAAGAAAGCAGACCTGAATCTGCTCTTTTGTTGCTGAGGTTCAATTGGTGGTAGCATAGTGATGTCCAGTTTTATAGCAGAAAACCACACGTGAAATATTCACATTGAAGAGCAATCATAATATGAAACATGACCGTCTAACCCTAGACTGTTCCCTTGCTGTGGCATTTTAGTATGAAAACAAATGCACTTGATGCATTCTCTAGTTGAATGTCTAAACTGCATTTCAGTTCCTGCGTTAGGGTACTTGCCAAATTCAGTCAAGAAAATTATTACATCATATAATTAATATATTGTAAAATCCATGCTTCTGCCATGATTCTAATGGAGTTTAGCCTACTCTTCTTTGTATTTTACTCTTATTCTCATCAATCTTGAACGCTAATGTTTCTCTGAGGAATTGTGTTCTATAGCTTGCGACAGATCTAGAAGATTACCTGTCAGAAAAAAATGCTTGGTTAGCGCTTATTGCTGCAATATACAGTTTGAAATTAACAATTTCTCAGAACACTGTGTTTAGATTGATGCTAATATAAACCAGACTATCTTGCAGCTTCAAATATATGCTACTTTCATATTGAATGATGATTCAGGAGAAGGAAAAACTGCGTTGTGCAGATTAGGTGGCTGAGGCTTTGTATTATTTAAACTCCTTGCTATGAGCTGAATTTACACTGAGTAGGTTAGGTGATGCTAAAGAAAACTAAAACCCTCTGGGCAGCTGGATCACAGTGAAGAGAGGGACGTCCTGCTTCAAAGATGGTAGAGTTTCCTAATGAAGAAAGGGGACTG